AACTGCAGAGCGACCGGTCCCCGAACCTCCCTCTCTCGGGGGCGGACAGAGAGGGGCGCCCCTACCCCCTCATGGCTCTGGGGAGCCGGGGCCGCGGTGCCCGGAGACCCCGGCGGTGGCCGGATGCGCTTCCATGGCGGACGCTGTGCGTCTGAGAAGGAGAGGGCGAGCACGAGGACGCACGGCAGCCTCAAGGCCCTGGCTGCCGCCCGCGGAAGAATCCCTCGACCCCAAGAGACGCCAGATGTCAATGCGTCCAGGCGGAGGTCGCAGCAGCAGCTCGGACCCAGGCCCTCCTCCGGGTGTGGGAGCTCATCACCAAGCGCCCCCTCCGCTCTCCTCCGCCGCGGCGCGAGGGCGGCTGGGAGATGGAGTGCGGAGCCCGACGGAGGCCGCAAGGGGGCCGCTTCACTTGAACAACAACTCCCAGAATGCCCCGTCGTTCTGGGTTTCGCGACTCCCTCCCTCCCTCCACCCTCGAGCCTTGGGGCTTTGCGTGCCCACCGCTGTTTCTGTGGCGTAAGGACTGGTGTCCTCACAATGGGGCTTCAGTGACATTTCGACTCTTGCTCGGCTCACACGTCTGAAGTACACAGAGGGAGGAAAAGTGAGGTGGCTGCCTGAAAAACTGGTTGCACGTGAACCCAACCCTATTGCCTGGAGCGAAGTTTGGGTACTTGGGACTTCGGAGGAAGTGCGTCCTTGACCGAGATAAAGTTCGGGGCCAGAAATATCGTTTTCCCTCAGCAACAGATGTTGTGTTATGTGTTTTCAGAAATGACCCGCGGGTCACTTAAGGACAAATTCTGTCCCTTTAATTCACCTGACTGAATTGGGAGTTTGATTCATTTGCTTTCTTAAAACCAAGTGACATATGACCCACAGCTGAAGATTTCACCTCGCTCACTTGAACAAATGTCTGTGAAACAAGACACTTTAATAATCTCAACTACTAGACCTCCATTTGAAATTAAAACTCTGCGATTCTGCCAGATTACATTCACTTGTGAAAACAGTGCCCCCAGAAAAGGATAAGTGTGTTCCTCTTTTAGGAGGAATCAGAGCCTTCACATTTTCCTGTAACTCTGTTGCTCCCTGCAGTACTTTTTTCTGTTCCCTATTTTCTACCTGCAAAAACAAAATATAAGCAGCAGTTCCTTGAATTAATAAATATTGGCTATTCTCCGCTGCCTTAATGTGTAAGCTAGGTTCCCTATGAAGTGGCATTGTGAACAAATACTATATATGAAAATAAACAATAATTACTTTGCTCACAAAAGATTTAATAAGGTTCCTGTGAAGAAGGAATGAGCCCAGTGCAATTAAGATATATTTAGGAAAATGTCAGCTTATGCTTTTTTCATGGACGATTCAATTCTATTGCATAAATAAAACACATTTTTAAAAAATGGTTAAAAGATAGAAGAACTGAAAGGAATTATTTTTCAGACTTCTGTCTCCTCTCATTTGCATACCTGTATGGGATACCTGTAGGTGCCAGGCACTGTTCTAGGTGCTGTGGTTACAGCAATGAATGAGGTGAACAATGTGCCTATGCTTAAGATGCTTTTAAGGAGAGAGGATAGGGACAATGAGCATAAATAGGGAAACTGCAGGAACTGGGATTCCTGAAATGAAAATAAGCAGGATAGTATGGTGAAGACAGAGGTGTTACTTTAGTTTAGGGAGGCTGAAGAAAAGGTACCAGAGGAAGTGATATTTAATCTAAGTTCTGAATGACAAAAGGATCCAGCCATGGGAAGACCTCAAGGAAGAGGTTATGAGGTAACAGGAGCAGCTGTACAAAAGCCACAAGGAGCACACGAACTTGACAGTTCCCTAAGGGTTGGCAGTGTTTCTCAACTCTGGATGCACATTTTGAATCACCCAGGGAGATTTAAAATTACAGCTGGCCAGTTCTCAACCCATACTGAATGAATCGGAATCTCTGGGGGCAGATCCCAAGCGCAGTAGTTTGTTTGTTTGTTTGTGTCAGGGAGTGAACTCAGGACCTTGCACTTGTGAGGCCAGCGCTGTGCCACTGAGCAAGCGCAGTAGTTTTTAAAAGCTCCTATTCTAATGTGTACTGTGAAGCTGTGGTTCTCAAAAAATGATCTCCAGGTCAGCAGGGTCACCTGGGAACTTGTTAGAATTGTCCCGGAACACCTACTGAATCAAAAAATCCATAGTAGTCTAAGTAAAAGAAGGTGGCTTGGATTAAGGCAGTCATCACCGGAGCTGGGGAAAAGTGGACAGATAGGGAATACATTTTGGAAGGAAAATCATCAGGATTAGCTCGTGGATTAGATGTCGGGGGGGGTGAGGGAAAAGAGGAATCAAAAATTATTCTCAGATATGGAGAAAAAGGAACCCTTATGGGCTGTTGGTGGGAATGTAAATTAATACAGCCATTGTGGGAAACAATATGCAAGTTCTGCAAAACAAACAAGCAAAAAAAGAAACAGAGCTACTATGTGATTCTGCAACCCACAACTGTATATATCCAAAGAAATGAAACAGTGGAAGGGACATCTGTGTTCCTATGTTTACTGCAGCACTATTCACAATGGTCAAGATATAGAATTGACCTAAGCATCTAAGAACAGGTTAATGTATATGCACAAGAGGGTACTATTCAGCCATGAAAAAAAAGATGAAATCCTATCATTTGCAACAACATGGATGAACCTGGATGATATTATGTTTAGTGAAATAAACCAGAAACAGAAAGACACATATGACATGATTTTATTCATAATTGCCTAATCTTAATATAAAAGTGTTAATCTAATTGAAATAGAAAGTAAAATGGTGGTCACCAGGGAAGGGGGTAGTTTGAGGAACAGCGCTGGGAAAATGTTGGTCAAAGGACATAGAACTGCAGTTAGATAAGAAGAATAAGTTTCAGAGATTGGTACGGTGACTACCATGACACTATATTCTATTCTAATAGAGATTTTGCAAATGGAAAGAGGACCAAGAGTTGGAAGGAACAGGGAGGAAGGGGAGGGTCAGGGAATGAAAAAAGTATTAATATATGTTTTGTACACATGGGGACCTTATGACTTCATCATTACTCAAAGGCCGCATCTCTTAATACTACCACATCGAAACATATCTTTATACTACACCTTGGAACTCCAACATATGAATCTTTTGAGGACATCAACATTCACACCAGAGCAATGGATAACTCCTTTGGTAACAAGTGAGTTTGCTTCTGTATGTATTTATGCCTAGTTTCCATATCTGACTGTTAAGGAGGGAACACTTGCTTCTTCCCTGCTATCTCCTTCCTGGAGAGAGAAAGCTCAACTGGTGTAATACTGTCAGGCCTTCCTATGCACATTTATTCCCACTGTCCCCGGTCAGAAGAGGAATGATTTACCTAACTGGCACATTTAAGAGAAGTAAATTCAGCTTGCTGAACTCCTGTCCTCCATGTTCTTGAATCCTAGCTGCCTTATCCATAAAGGCCACTCGCATGGGAATAGCCACCCTAGCTACCTTAACTTAGGGTTTAATTAACAGGCTTGGCTGGCTCGCACATTTATATGTTTTCTAACATAGCATTTATTATTAATAAAGGTGATGTTTTGGTCTCCAAACATCATTCTTTTTTCATTTATGAGAGAGAAAGAGAAAAGTCTCACTATGTAGCTCAGGCTGGCCTTGAACTCACAATCCTCCTACTTCAAGCTTCCAAGTCCTGGGATTACCGGTACACTTTTTTTTTCACAACTTTACAGATTTGGGGGCATCATTCATTATTCCCTTCCCATAACCCTATACTGCTTTTAAAGTAGTTAAAGGAAGAGGGCATGAGTTCTTCCCTTATGTATTGCCATGTAGTAGATGCTCATTGGATATTGATGTAAATGTCTGATATCTAAAGCCTGACAATAAGCCTGAACTTTAGCCTTTTGATCTCTAAATAATGGAGTAAATTATGCTAAATATAGGGAACATAAAAGGCAGTAAGACAAGTTTCCTGACCTTAAAGAAAATTCAGTCCTACTGCAGATACTTATTAGAACACCTACTACATGCAAAGCACTATACTTGCCAGCAGATGTACAAAAACAAATGTTTCCTGATCTAAAATAGCCTGATCTGCATGTTGACTTC